ATAGATAGATAGATAGATAGATAGATAGATAGATAGATAGATAGATAGATAGATAGATAGATAGATAGATAGATAGCATTAATCCCCATCTTTTCCATTGATGAAGTGAACCCAGCCTTTTCTCACTCTGGTCTTTTTGCAGGCAGTGCGCAGCACCGATCAGTTGATGCCTATTTATACAAAGTGTTAGTTCACTAACAGCTTCCTCTCAGAGAAGTCTTTGAAGGCTGTGTTGTGCAGATTTAAACTAAATCAATGTTTTCCTTTCTTGACGTTGGAGGAAAATGTAAACAATAGTAAAAGCAGCAATTAAAAAAAAGTAGCCTAGTCTGGAAGTTACTAGAACGTGGAGAATGACAAACAGGTTAACTTTGGTCATGTTTGACTTTGGTTGCTGTAGCCCAGACCTGGGCAAAGTGCGGCCCGAGGGCCACATACGGCCCGCAAGCTGCTCCTGTCCAGCCCGTGGACAGTTTTGAACATCAAAACCATTTATAGCTTTTTGTCTAAAGTGGATAAGTTGCTTACCTTTAACATATCGCAAAAAAACCTCTTTGGTATATGTGAAGATTAACAAGTTTAAAATAAAAAACAATCATAACATGACTGTTTCATTTTATTCTTAAGTAAAGTTGGTTCGTCCCCTGAACACAGTTCAGATTTTTCATGTCGCCCCCTTATAGAAATTAATTGCCGACCCCTGGTGTAGCCTGACACAAGCTTGGCTTTTCTTGCATTTACAAAGCTTGGTCAGTAAACAATTTGCAGGCTGGTGATCCTAACCATTCGGAAATCCTTTCCATTCAACCTGAGCCTCCCTTCTTCATCTCCAGTTTTTTGACTGACCTTGAAGACCTTCCTCTTTAGGACTGCCTTTTTTCCCCTTTTCAGCAAAACAGCTTACTAAGGAGTTCCTACGCGTGTTGTTTGTATCTTGTTTCTCAACCTTGCATGCTGTTTTGGAAGAGCATAGCACTAACAAGCAGCTTAAAAATAGATCCAGTAAATAAACAAACAAATAAATTCTGCACTGTTATGATCTTCAGACAGTTCCAGGAACTCAGAATCACTCTAGCTGAGCTTGCAAGAGGACTGGCTTCCTTCAGCATTCAGAGAGGAAGGAGAAGGACTTATTGCCCCTCTCCACTTCTATGGTGTATTCAGAGTGAGGCAGATGATGAGTGAATAGGACAAAGTTGAATACTCAGAATCTATATGAAAATAGATTCTGAGAGGTGTAAAGGGCAGCTACTGGACTAAGTGAGAGGACTTCTCCCTGTACCTCTGGGGTTACCTTCCACCCTCATCACAAGGCACCTATCAGTGAGGAGATAAAATATGCATTAAAACCCGTTAATGCGTTCCTATGGGCAAAAAACTCACCTTTAAGTGAAAATCCTCCATACGGTGGCCCTTTTCATTGCCCGGTAAGCGAGGAATTGGCGCGAAAATTGCTGGGATTTTTGCATTCTTACATGCTGCCTCTAGTTGATGTGACTGAGAGGGACCTTTCTGGTCAGGGGTGACTTTCAATCTATACAGCACTAGCCTAGCCTATCATTCCTTCCCTGCTTCTGAATTGAAAGAGAGCCACACCTCTCTGCTAAGACCTTTGTTTCCCTTTCTTGAGTCTGTTGGAAGCAAGTCAGCCAGTGGGTCTGTTGAGGTCTGTTGCTGCAAGCAGTCATGTTTGTTCTCGGTTTGCTGTTTTATCTGTAAGTAATGAATCAGATCATACTTTTGCACTATTAAAGAGCAGGCCGGGTAGGTGGGGCTCGTCAGCCATGGAAGGCAGCCCATCTAGGAGAAGGAAAACTCCTATTTCAAACCTCCACTGCCTTGTGGCTATATCCACTCATGGAAAAGGCTTCAGGAGTTAACCTCGAGGCAAAATCCTGAATGGACTAATCTGGGGAACTTGAAGCTAATTCTGCTGATTGCATCACTGCACTTCTGCTGCAGAGCTAGAGGAGTTTAACCGAAATTCAAAACTCTGCAATGAAACATACAGTCACTGCCACCCACCCACTATGGATTCAGACAAAACAGAGCCTTTGGGTTGAAATCGGAATGCTCTGGAGAGGACACTCCTCGATTCAGAGCATGTTACCATAGTCTCTCTAGACTGAAGGATGCCTATACAATGAAACCGTTGTACTTTCTCTTGCAAATGTCTCAGAGTGAGCTATTGAGACTGTAAGTGCCAGTTTAGGAGTGGACTAATCTGGGGAACTTGAAGCTAATTCTCCTCTTTACATCACTGCACTTCTGCTGCAGAACTAGAGGAGTTTAACCGAAGTTCAAAACTCTGCAACGAAACATACAGTCACAGCCATCCACCCACTGTGGATTCAGGCAAAACAGAGCCTTTGGGTTGAAATCGGAAATTTAGGGCAGGAAAGGAGAGGAGAATGGGGAATTTTTTCCATTACACTTTCTCTTTGCTGTTTGCCTTCATGACCTTCTGTTTCCTTTTGTCTGCAGTGTGAGCAAGTGATCCTGCAGTCATTCATAGTGGCTCAGGCTTTGGCCAGAGATGTGGAGTTCCACATATTCACCTTCAAGGACTTTGGCAAAGGTCTCATCAAGAAATGCCGCACCAGTCCAGACAGCTTCATCCAGCTCGCCCTCCAACTGGCACATTTCCGGGTAAGACCCTTGCCTCAAGGCAGATGGTGGTAGGCAGACAAAAAGCATGCAGTTTCATGAGGGCTGGCTGAAGCCTTTGGCCTTAAATGACCTGACCTGGTTCCAGAAATGTGACAGCCAGTGGCCAGGAGAGCTGGGGAAAGGTTGTTTTTTTTCGTCCCCCATCCTTAGACTAGCATAACTTTTGCAGAAGAATCAACTGGATCTCATTATTTCTTAAAGTCCTTCTGGGAAAGCATCTTCTTTTTCTTGGGATCTTGACAGAGGCCTCTATCTCTAGATTTTGTGAGAATCTCTATAAACTGGATGCTGTGGGATACAACTTGGGGAAAAGTTGTTGTTTTTCAACTGCAGGTTATAGAATCCCCTAGCCACTCGGCTACAAGGGGAACCATGAGAGATGGGCTCCTTCCCAGCTTGAATGGACAATTGGTAGGTGTTCCTTCCACCTCTGCCTCACCTGCAAGCTTATGTGTGTTTTTTTAAATTATTTTTAACAATTAGGGATAAGGAGTACAAAAGGTAGAGGGGGATATTTTTTTTTAAATTTATTTTTAACAATTAGGGATAAGGTAAGGAGTACAAAAGGTAGAGGGGGATATGGGGGCGGGGAAGAGGAGGAAGGAGAACACAAAATGTACTGTCATCCAATCTGTTCATGTTGTGGTATCAAGTTCACTTTTCGTCTTTCTACAGTTTGATTGCCCCCCCAGGTTTCAACTTAGTTAAAAGCAAAGCAAAA